AAGAAGGATAATTTTTACTTTCACATATTTTATTAACTAATAAATTTTGCTGAAAACGTAAGAAGGAAACTTAAGCATAGAAATTAATGTAACTTATAGATTATACTTTTCATGAAATATTACCAGTAAAACTTTATAAAATGATTTATTAATGGCCTTTGTTAGTTAAGTATGGTCGGTTTTAAAATTCTATTAAGTGCTATAAGTTGCATCATTTTTTTATGCTTAAGTTTCCTTTTTATTTTCTTGCAAAAATTTATTAATTAATAAAAAAATATGAAAGTAAAAATTATCCTTCTTTCCATCTTGCGCTCACAAATCATTATGGAATATCCATTTACACTTATTAAGCATGCTTGAAAAAAGCATTCTGCGATGTTATCGTCATGCGATGATTTGTAGACTTTATTTTTTACCACGATATTCAACGACGATGTTTTTAAACTGCGATGTTTTTGAACTGCTTTATTTTCGACGACGGTGTTCTGTACCACGATGTTTTAGAACTGCGATGTTTTCTCTTTGCGATGTTTTCTCCCACGATGTTTTGTAGCACGACGTTTTCTCCGCGACATTTTCGTCTGCGATGTTTTCGGCTGTAACCATTGGATACACACCTAACACGTGGCGTTAGACACATCTTTTATCGATTACAATCATGTAATTTAATGTTTGCTTTATATAATTTGTTATATTACGATCAACGAAATGTTGATTAATTCTTTTAACAAATGATATGGTTTTTAAATAATTTAATTTGTTAAACAATTCGATTTATCAAATTTCATGAGATACAGATCTTAAGAATTGTCTATAAAACGAAACTATGGATTTCAGTCATGGCGGAAGATCCCCAATTTATCATAGCTATTTAATATGGAAGTGAAGAATTACTGTGACTTTCATTTCCGTCAAAAACTTTTGCTGTCTGGTGGGTGGTGATGAAGCAACCAGATCTTATACTTGAATTGTAGACTCATTTTGCGAAAAGGTTTCGTGTTCAACACCTCAAAATCTAATAAAAACTTTGCATTGACCTGTTTGATTTCGAGAAACAAACCATTTGAAATTACTTTAATGTGGAAATTAAACGCTAAAATGTCTTCATATAACTCCTAACTTATCTGAGATCCTTTACTTCTGTTTAGAATTCTGTGAATGAAACCCTGACTTTGCAGAAAATATTGCTGCGAGCGTACGGGTTCCCAATAGATTGAATGCACACAGCACCGACGATAGCTTGATAAAATTTATTTTACCAAAAGAGGCATTTTACAGTTCTGGTGCTTTCCAGAAAAGTGCTCGCACAGCTCTGCTCAGTATGACAGAGTACAATTAGAAGTCACATTTCAAACTACTAAGAACGTTAAACACAGCGTAATGCAAAGCGTGTCTAAATACTGAAGTTCACAGTGATACATTTCTATGCCCCGTACGCAACGATAAATGGCGAATTCTGGCCAAAATTGGCGAAAAACGTTAGTCCCTAAAACCATTGCCGGCTTGGCGATATCTCACCAATTTACCCAAATAGCCATTTACCTCAGTGTTAAAGAGAGACTTGCCCCTATAATCTTTTATTTATTTATTTTTTGGCACAGAATTGTCTGTTTCAAAATTTCTGCTAGATTATATGAAAAAATACTACAATTTCACATATAACTTCACTAAAATTGACATACATTCAGAATTTGTTATAGTATCTCGTGGAGATATACAAATATACTTCCTTCGAAAAGGATCATTGCACTCATAGTGCAAGTAGTGCATAAACGCATCAGAGCTTTCCTATGAAATGAATGGGAAGTTGTTTCTGGAAAGTCTATGTTTTTTAAAACGTCTCGGCCTTTCCCGATATTCTTTAATAAACTTACCTACCACACTGTTCCATGTATATAACGGTTGCATTTTTCAGCCTCTTTCATGTGAAACCGTCCTGTATGCAAGATTGCGTCGTATGCAAGATTGCGCAAAGAAAACATGATTATCAAGTTTTTGAAATTTTTTAGAATTATTAATAAAATTCACTTGATGTTAGCTTAATGGCTCTAAACTTTGAATGATTAAAAAATATTTGAAAAGTTTTAGACTATAGCGTCGCATCAGCGAATTTGTTGAAATTCCTCATGTGCTCGTTCAGCAAGCAGTTTATCTATCTCACTCGTTCTAACACAACTTTTCCTGTCTTTATTATTAAACTCCACTTTCTTCGGACTTATGCCAGATAAAGTTCAACAACAAAGACAGCATGTTTTAAAAAAATAGCATATCTTTAGTATTCTCGATTTGGTGCTGAGTTTTGACATATATTGTTTAGACCTGAAGTTGCTATTATTCTTTCGAATTTCACTTTTGCATCGAATCAATTTTATTGGTTATTTAACTTTTCACATAACTCAAATAATGAACGATTCGCTTAAAACAGTTAGTCTACAAAAAAGGAATATATGTATTATAAAAAAGATATCAGAAAGTTTTTAGATTTTATATTACGCTAAAAAGGTCCTTTTTTAACGTTTTGTGTGTTACATTTATTTATTAAATATCATATTATTCGCACATAAACCATGAAATTAGAAGCGGGAAGAAAACTTGTATTCAAATTACAAGTTTACGATTTCCTCACCTTCGCAGACGATAACGCATTGCATGCAGGAGATTGCTAACGACAATGGACGAATGCACCTTTGCAGAAAGACTCTGTATAACTTCACATTTTATGGCAGCTTTCAATTCTGATATATCTCGAGTACTTGGTATAAACCAAAATCCATCGGAATGAAGTTGAGAGATCGCGGTGATCACGGAATTGCAAAATTATAGGAGATGATTCTATCTTGAAACGTTGTACGTGTTGAAAAGTTGTAATTCCAATGAAAGTTCTTTTACCTCTCCTCTCTTGCGTTGTCACTGGTCCTTTACAATGCTCTTCTTTGCAAATGTTTTACGCCAGCAATCATCATCATACATATATTGCTCCAACGTCATTTCTGGTTTTCAATGCGCTGATGAATCTGCGCGGGAAAAAAGTGGGTGTAACTATTCAAAAATTTCGAAATTCATTCACAGCCACCGTAACCGTTAGAGCTGTCTTGTTTTGAATCATCCCAGTCTCGAGCGCATACCTTTAAATAACAACATCTGAAGTCTTATTTTGACTAGTCCAGCGGATAAGCCGCGGGAGTTCATACGAAGGGTTTTATGACCCCCTATATTAAATTCATTGAGTTATTAACTATATTAAATTATTAATACGTTTTGAAATATACAAAACACTACACCGTCAGAACAGTTGATTTGCAGATAAAAACATTGCAGCTCATTGTCAAGCTACCGTATTAATTCACTAGGTGCCAGTTGCAGCGTTAGTCAGGGTGGCGCAACAGCGGCATTTGTTTATATAAGGACATGGTGAATAACATAAAATACATTTCTGAACATAAACATAAATATGGTTGAAGATAACAAAAGATAAAAAGTATTCTTGAATGGAGTTAGATTGATAGTTCAGCATAACTGACTTTCATGTCGGCGCTGATTGACTGAGTGATACATTTTGATAAACTATTTCATGATTTAGCCTATTTAGTTAAATTGTAAGTAATAGTTACCTGTAGCAAGATCCATACGGAATATTACCAGTGCTAAGTAAGGAGGAATTAAAAGGCGCCATTATAAAGGAAATTAATTATCATATTACTGGCTTTTACATACTTATATAAATTAATAATATACGCAATTTCCGACGTATCACGTGCACCGCTGTATAAGGTGCATCTATTACTTCCAGCTAATTTTTTTTTTTTTTTTTTTTTACTTTTAGCTAGCTATATTCGGCGTAAAATGCGCATTCTAGCCTTTCTAATAATGTATACCGAATTAACAAGGGATAAGGGAAACAATACATGTGTGGGTTAAAGGCTTGAGGGAGTAAATATTCCCGCAAAGAGGGTGAATTGTATTCAATGCAAGCGTCCAAAAGAATTCTATTGTAGGGTTTCGAGAAATTCTATTGTAAGGAGATATAATTTGGAGTTCCAACCTGAAGGAATTCGTGGAATTAGGAGTTAAGATTTTCTCTTTCTATAGTCATCTTAAGGCGTGATTTTGAAGTGAAAATCGAAGGCTTTAGTAAATCGCATTTGCTTTAGTTGAAATACAGTTGAAATACAGTTGAATCTAGTGTCCCTTTTAGTAGTAAACATGGCTCCCGCGAAAAGAAACAAACGTAGTACTGGTTTCAAATTCGAAGCCATTCATTTTGCGAACGAAAACGGAAATCGAGCTGCATCAAGGGTGCTTGGTGTTGGTGAAAGATGAAACGGATGATTATGATGCATTAGAGTAACAATGATGATACATTAGAGTAACAATGATGATGAATTAGAGTAACAATGATGGTGAATTAGAGTAACAATGATGGTGAAGATGAAACAGAATTCGATGATGTGTTTGAAGATGTAACGGAAGACGAACATGACGAACTTCGCATGTTATCCAATAATGAAAATTTTTAAGTTGATAGGTTATGTCATTTCTTTAAATAAACAGCATTTAGGTACATATAGAAATCGAATTACTTGATGCCCATTCCTTGTTTTTAAATCTATCATTTTTATTCCGCGCAACCGTTCGATCTTATTTTTTGTATTGAAAGTGCGAATTATACGCCGGAATGTACGGTAATTTTAATTCTCGTGTGATTTAAATTTTCTATGTTTGGCAAGTCACGAAATGGGACAGCAGAAATGTAGAAAACCTGGAAGCTTTTATCTTACTTTTGGTTTTGATTCCACTGCTGAAAATGATTGTGAACTTTTCTATAAAAAGAACGAAATCCTATACTGCATTCAACAAATGATTTATTTAGAAGAATTCCGTTGAATGGATGCAAGATTCTGTCGTTTCCTATTTGTAAATTTAAATTATTTTAACTGCTTTATTTATTTATTGATATATTATTTGGCATGTAAAATTCGTGGAAGAAAAGCTGATCTTACCGAATTCTTTAGTTCGCACATCGATTTCTTCCGACGGAGGCCCAGCTCCTCTGCTGTTGAAAGGTTGTACAACAACAGTGTAGTCCGTAAATCTGTTTAAATTCCGAATTTCAAAATGCTGAATGAGGTCCTGGGTACAAATAACAGATTTGAATGTGAATGGCTCAGCGCCTCCTTTGGTTTTATATCCAACATAAAAACCGTCTACACTACCACCACCATCATTTGTTAACGGTTTCTGGAAGAAAATAGTAAAGAAAACGAAGAAAGTGTAATGAAAAGTGAAATTTAAATCACATATTTTTCAAGCAGTATATATATATATATATATATTATATAATTGCTACAGTTGGATTGTTTCTGGTTTAATAGTAATAGCAAATAAAAAAACAAGAAAGGGATATACTTGAGGAAACATTATTTGGTACGAGCAAAATTTTCTTATCATTCTTCGCCTCATTGAATACATGTTTTTTAAAGCCCTTGCTTAATTTTGAACGTATTTTAATTTATGCATTTCCTTTCGTTTAAGATTTAATATAATTTATGCATTTCCTTTCGTTTAAGATTTAATATAATTTATGCATTTCCTTTCGTTTAAGATTTAATTTAATTTATACTGATAAAAATGATGGCATTATGAAACTGAAACAGTATATATATTTTTAAGACGTGTATTTGAAACATATCTTATTGCAAACAACTCAAAAGCGTCGCCTCGTTACATATAGAGGTTAACGTTGACAGCTGCACTATCCCACATGGTACAGCAAAATCGGCGCCAGGGATTGGCTCAGCTGACAGCGTAATACAATGTTGGTCCAAGTGCAAGTGTTTCGGAACACACAATTCTACGGACATTGTTCGATATGAGACTGTGCAACAGATGTCCCACTCATGTATCTCTGTTGACCAAGCGTCATTGTGCCTCTGGTGACCCAGCGTCTTCGCCTACATTGGGTCTGGGGACGTCTAGACTGGACCATGGATAAGTGGAAGACAGTTGCCTGGTTGGATGAATCAGAATTTCTAATTTATCACGTCAATGGTCGTATCAAGGTGCGCCGTCTTTCAGGCAAACAGTTGCTTCCCCATGTGTAGCATATCATATACAGGTGGTGGTATTATGCTTTGGGCAATGTTTTTATGGGCGGCTCTGTGACCCTTAATTGTGATAGAACGGACCATGAAAGCTGCGGACTATCTGAACATAACTGCGAATCAACTGCATCCTTACATGGCATCTGTCTTCCTAACTGAAAATGGAATCTTCCAACAAGACAACGCCCATGCTACAAGGCTCGAATTGTGTTGTAGTGGTTCAAGGATATAAAGATTAATTTCGGTTAATGTCCTGCCCACCTAACTCGCCGGTTCGTAACCCAATACAGCACATTTAGTATGTTATGGAGCGGCAGCTCAGAGCTAAAACTCCACCATTTCGGAGTATCTCGACCTTGCAGGACCGCTGCTTAGACATTTAGTACAAACTGTCTCCAGTCATCTACCAAGAACTTGTAACATCCATGGCAAGGCGCAGTCCAAAGGTCGCGCAACGCGTTTATACAGTAGGTGGTCATAATGTTTCGACTTTTCAGTGTATATATTTGTTTATATCTATATCTGTATATGTGAATTATATAAAGTGTGAAGTTCACCAAAAATAGTTGTTTCGTTCATAAATAATACACGGATTTCAAAAATTTCTAATCAGCGTATAGGAAGGGTTAAATATTTGCTTTATAAAAAGGACATACATTGTTAAACAGAATTAATTCTTAGAAATACTAATTTGCATTCAGTTGCTTTTACAAAAACGTTGCGCTTAAGTCATGTATATAAAGGCAATTTATTTAATTTTTGTAGAAGTATTCTTCCTTTCAAGATTAAGAAAATTAAATGGAAGAAAAGGCCGGATCTAATTAGTTTTTAATCAATCAACATATCTCGGTAAATGGAGAGCGAAACTTTTAATTTCTGGTTTGAAGGCGTTTCAGATTAGAGCTAAACAAATATGCATACGAAAATTTCATCAGCAACTCGTAAAACAAATGATTATTTTGAAGCACAAAATACATGATATATTTGATAAAATCTTTACGTGTCTACATGTTTATAACTATATATACTCTGAATACATGTCTCTTACATTAAAAACAGAAAAGGGAACGTATAAAAAACATAAATAACGTTCCACAGTTTTAATATCTCACCTGCCAGGTGACGTTGACAGATCTCGATGACAGAGCAACGGCTTTCACAGAAAGAGGTGCATCCCGCGGTGCTACACAAAAAGAGAAATTTAATTAAAGAAGAATTATACACGATTATACTCCCATGAAAGTTTAATCAAAATTTTCAAGATGCTGATAAATGACATAGGTCTTTTTAAGTTCCAGGAATTAATTAATCTTAGCTTAAATTGCAATCTAAATAATGGTGAAGAAAATGCCATACTAAAAGCGCACATAAAAAGTATTCGTATGTTCTAGAAGATAAGGATTTTTCTGCGCTAATTTCACGGATGTGATAAAAGATCTTATTAAGTTACAGAAAAAAAAATCGCTCAAATCCTAAATGTATCATATTCATAACTGAACTTGATTTACTTTTAAAAGATTCTATGAATTAATATGAAATTGAGCTAAGTGACGGCGATAAACGTTAAGCATAATTTTAATTCATACATAATTAATTTTTGTTGAAAATATAAATATACGCTTTATCAGAGAACAGATCGCAAAAATTAATAAAAATTTTCTGCTTAACATTTACGTATATCTAGACATTAGCATTTAACAAAATGCTGAATAAAGCTGTTTGAATAGTGATTCGGTTCTCAACTTCCAATGTATTCTGTAGTAACTGCAATCGCTTTATCAAGATTTGGTAGATGATATGTTTTGTTTACATCAGAAATATACAGATTCAAACAGCATTCCTGCTGTCTTCGAAATAATGAACAACAAACAAATATTCTTAGCATGCCTAATATCACTGGGAACTAAATGTATTTTATAATAAAGTTCTTAGTCCTGTAGCTAAATTCAGCTTTGAAATTAGATTCAGCTAAATGAAAATAATTTACTTCAGAGCGTGAAAACAGTCGTTTTCTTATGAGCTGGCAACTCATAAATTTTCTGAAATTTCGGCAAAAACGATTTTTTTTTTTATCATTTACTAAAAACCATGGTACAATGCTTAAACGGTTTGCATAATGAAATCTCATTAATACAGCCACTTATATTCCAGACGAATTTAATTAATTTTGATTAGGTTAAAATTAATGAATGGTTAATTAATGAAGGTTTTAGAGAGCATTATTATAAAATATACAAAACATTAATGTTCAGTTTATATTCTTAAAAAGATGGGCCACTTTTAAACATCATTTCCCTTGGGAGATGATAGCCAGGATAATTTTCAGTGTGTATGAAAATTTAAATTGAGCTTATTCTCAATGCTAAATTATCATTGGAAATGAGCAATGATTTTAAATTTTTTTTACAAAATCTAAATTATATATATGAATTGACTAGAATCTATATTTATATATATATATACATATATATATATTGAAAGAGCTTGGGATAGTGTTCAAGGTAAATATATATATATATATATATATATATGTTTTTTTAAACAATTTTAACAACAGGGTTAAATTTAAAATAATTTCTCACTTCAAACTATTAAAAAAAATTCGTGTAACATTAAAAATCGCATTAACTGATTAATAATTGCTTAAAGTAGGAAATAATCTGATTTCACTTATAATCTCGCATATCGAACTGCATTAGGAATGGTTTGGTACGCGTTCCTTTACTGTGGTACTATTTTCATATATATTATATGTATTAATCTAATTTTCACTTAATATAATGCAACTGTTAAATGTTGAAAAATTTAACATTATATATATTACATGAGAAAACGAAACAAATTTGTGATGAATAAGCACGTAAAAATTTGTTGCCTTTCTGTTATGTTTTCGGCAAATGTTTTCGAAGCCAAAGTTTGTAAATTTGGTATGTCTAGACTAAAAATTTAGCCTCCTATTAAAAAAGAGCTTTTAATGAAATTTTTAATTCTATGTGCAATTTACTCATCCTGAGAACTGAGACAATCTATGAAATTAGAAAATTTTAAATTCGTTATAAATTATGCATATAGACATTTATAAAGGCTCTTGTAATTGTATATGTATATAATAATAATAAGTTGTAAACAGATAAAGAAATTTGTTTATAAGTATATAACAGAATTGTAATTTAACATCTTGATTTTGACATGCATGATAAGATGCGAAATAATTATAATAATTTTATTTTAGGTTTGAATTGGTTTATTTGATTACGGCAAAGCACTCGAGGGCTATCTGTCTAAGGGAAGGCATGCCCTCCTTGAGGACTTTCTAAGGGAAACTGGCTCGTATACACATTATACATGGGGAAAACCATCCCAATGCCCATGCAACCAGTCCGTTCGTGGGATTCGTACCTCGGACCCAACTACCAATGTTCAGCGACTTTACCGCGGCCACTGGTGGGCTTTGATCTTAGGAATGATTTAGATTATTCGTTTATAATATATTTAATAATATATATTTTTTCATATCAAAGAGTTTTCTAGCGACAGAAACCACTTTTAAATTACTTTCATGTTCCAAATATTTACCAAACCATTTCAGTGAAATTACGAATGAACACAATTCAAGTATATTATCAAATTGTAAAAAACATACTATTAAGTAAGTAAAAATTGTGAAATTTAAAGGATTCATTGTTTTGTAAAAAGTAATGTATGAAAAAAAAATAAATAAAAAAAAAAAAAAAAAAGTAAACTGATGATTTTATTTGTTATTTTTTTTTAAATCTAAGCATTGCTGCTAATTATTATTATTATTTTATTTTCTCTTTATTTGGTCTCAAAATAAATAGCATTTAAAAAAGATCTTTGATTTAATGAGAGGTAAAATGAAAATATTATATTAAAATTAAAAGTATCTTTTTAAAGAAAGAAAATGTTACATTTTAAGAGAGGTAAAATGTTGATCAAAACACATTACTCTATTAGACTTAAAACAGAGTTATGAGAAAAAATAATATAAAAGAATAGCGAATTTATTTACAGATACAACTTCTATGCACGAAAGCAAGTTTATATGAACGAAAGTTCACTGGGCACACACGAACAATTAGAATAAAACTTTTTACAAGCGTATGTGGCTCGAATTTACAAACACCAAAACTAATTAATACATCTGAGCGTTTAAGAACAGAAAAAAATCTCTATACCTACGTTCTTCCAGTGTCGTAACTGCAACTTCAGCTCCGTACTGGCTATCCCCAAGGGCGTTTTCACATTTGACCCTGAAGAAATACCTGGTTTTCGGTTTCAGCCCACGAATTGTCAAAGTGGTTTCGTCCCCTGCTGCCGTTAGTGGTTCGCTTACGGATTGCTCTAAAGAAGGAAAGAAAACTCTATAAGGTTTATAGCAAATTTTATTGCAATTTTATTGCACTTTATAACAAGTGTTATTGCAATATGCCTTACTTTGAAGTTACGAAGCAATTTAATATAGATATTCGTACTCGAATAAATGATATATGTATTAAGTTTTTAGATCATTGAAGATCGATAGATATTTTTAATTACTCAGCAAAAATGGTAAATGAAATATGAGAGGAATATAGATAATGGAATATTAATCCTTCTCTTTACTTTGTACAAGGGTATTCTTAAACTGAGTAAATAAATCCAAATTAAATGTGTCAGGATCCCATATACGAGTATTTATAAATTCATGAAATCATGTTCAATCTAGCATTCATGCATTCGATAATTTTAGTAATCCATTTACTACTAAGAAAAACATTTCGAAGAGTCAATACACTATATTTGGTTGTAAAGAAAGTTTTTCTCCAAAAAACGTTCTTAATAAAGTAAAAAAAAAATTACAAAGTTCTTAATAAAGTACTTCTAGTGCGGGTAGTAATCACCACCCAAGTCTATGATTTTCTGCCAACGTTTTGGTACTTTTTCAAAGCTTCTCACCCAGAAATGTTGTGGCCGCGAGTCCAAGAAAAGAAGAAAAGATGATCAACCTCATTTCGGACGTCCTCTGCAGAATGGAAGATAGCATCAGCAAGATGTAGCTGCAGGTGTGAAAAAAGGTAGAAACCCGAAGGAGGGAAGTTGAGACTATACGCTGGCAAAAGATCCCTTTCGAGTCCGTATAGAGTTCTGCCTGTGAATGCAGACATATGTGGTTTTGCATTTTCTTGATGGAGTATTAACTTTTTGCGCGGGAACTCAGTTCAACATTTATATATATATATATATATATATATAGCAGCGTCAACAATGACTAGCATCTCGCTGAACATCTTACTGTCGGTGGTTTTAACTTTTTACAGACACCCTTTGTGGATTATACCACGGCAACCCTAGCAGATACAAAGCATGAGCTTTTTGTTTGTCAACCTGCGTTTTGCGACGCTGCCGAAGTACTGACTAACGCAGAGCAATTCCCTTTTAGGACCGTCTTGTTAAAGTAAATCTAATTTCATCACAAGTGGTCCAAAATTTTGTCCTTGCATTGATATTCGAGCAGATCAGTGCAGGCCTGCAAACGTCTGTCCTTATTTGTTTGAGTCAGCGCATGCGGTCACCCAGCGATTGCACTTGTACGTCACGTTTATGCGATGCATAGCACGACTAATGGACAAGACATTAACGTCTAACTCATTAGCTAGCTCTCGAGTAGTTGCATAGTGATCTTCTTTCAGAAGATCTCGCAGGTGGGCATCATCAACATCAGTAGGCCGGCCAGAGCGCTGTGCTATCTTGAATGTCATAGTCGCTGTTCTAGAATTTTCGGTACCAAACCTTCAGAGTGTCATATGATGCAACATTAGAACTTTAATCTGTATACATGATTTAATGACATTCTGTAGTTGACATTTTGCAACAGAACTGGAAGTAAATGATGTTTTTATTCTGATAGCGTGATAATTCCATTTCAGACACCTTGTACTTAATGATAACGATAATTGTTTACAAATTTAACAAAGCAGTGTTTTAAAAAAGGTGTCTTTCTTTCAAATGCCAAAAATTTGAATAAGAATCAAACTTCCAAGAAAAATTTCCAGCTTCTTTCTTGTTGATAATAGCACCTGCTTTATATTTAGACAATATAAATTTAATTCTGAATGCATTTAAATTATTGAAATGAATTTTTAAAACGTTCTTCCATGAAAGAACTTTGATGGAAGAACTTCCATGAATTATTAAATCGAGTTTAGGTATCTTGTAAGGATTATGTTAATTTTATTCACAGTTAAATTTTAAGTTAAAGTTCCTTTTCTGTCAAATTCTTAACTTCAACTTACTACTTCCGGCCAGAACGTAGTTTTGAAATTTGCTGAATATTTAATGAAAAGGAGCGGTATTTAAACCACGAAGTTACTTACTGAGACAGAGAGAGAAACAGAGTTTCTGAATTACGCGCGTCTGCCTTTTTGGCCGCTCTCTCTCTCTCAAAGCTGTTTTACGCTCGGCCGTACTCAGGTCCTTGCTAAGCTTCGTAGTAAAATATGTTAAGGGGCTAACTCTCATTGAACCTTGACAGCTTTGGCTATACTTAGTTAGTTAATCTTAGTTTTAGTTTAATTTTTAGTCTTTTAAGTTCAAGTCCAAAGTGCGGGCTTTACTTGTACACTCCCAGGCGGTGTTTGTTAAATCTTATCGAAACAATAAAGGGTTATTTACCCTTCTCTCTTGTTGTTTCCTGTCTTCGAACTCTAGCGATTATTCCCTTATCAGTTCCTAGGTTCCTCACTTCCAACATTAACTTAGAATTTCAAGTGAGGGACCTTACAATCTGATTCCAGTTTTATCAATTCATAATTATATCTCACCAAAAGCAGAGACCGCTATTGTTTAAAAGGTAGTACATATACCATTGTTTTCCGTTAACTTAGACCAACTTTCTTGAGTATCAGTAACAGTATGAACATTACAGGTTGGTATTTGAGCTCTTAAAATAGTTAAGGAGTAAATTCATATATCCTTTGGTATTTCGTAAAGACACATTTAAAATTTTAATTAATCTCAAATCTAAGCACTGGATTTATTTAATGAAAATAATAAATTTATTTAAATGTGATGAAAATCGCAATTAATTATTTTGGTATAACATCTTCAGCTATACTTTCATTTCAATACATAATTTCTAGTTTTTTTTAGAGATAAGGGGGTATCGCTAAAACAAGTAATACGAAATTGAGAAAGGACTTTTAAGTAGATGAGTTAGTTAACTTCAAGATAAGCTTTAAAATAACGCACACTATTGTTTTGTTCAAAATATTTAATATATAGTTTAAATAAAACACGTATATGTAAGAAAATTTTAATTTGAATGACCTACAACGTGATACATCTCGTGCCTAAAGAGATAGTTACAATTATTAACGATTCAACACTTTTTTAATCTTAAGAAAAGGTGCTTGAAACAGATGTGCTCAACCATCTCCATTCTTCCTTTCCTCCATTTTAAGAAAAGGTGCTCAACCACCTATCCATTCTTTAACAAATTTATTTTATAATTTTCCACATATTTATAACTATGTATTTAATAAAATCTTCTTCTTTTTACTAATCCCTCTGATCTGAATCAGTTCAGATCGATCCATAAGTGCATTCGCCATTACAACTTCTAACACGAAATTAGGTCTCGTCAACAGAACTTCATGCACCGAGGCAACACAACTAAGTAAACGTTGCGCAGTAGCTTCATGGTTTTAAATTTGGCGCAAGTCGGAAACGTTTTAGTACAGAGTTTGAGTAACCGAACCAGAGCCGTTTGGTCCTTCCTGCCAGCCTTAAAACCAATAGCAGTACCAGGATGGATACCATGAGTGTTTCGGTACCATGAAGTGTGTCGGTAGCTTTCTACAAGAACTGTTAATTAAAACCTTTCTTTTCAAGTATAGTTAAAATTAGGTCAACAGTTCAGCATCAAAAATATAGGGTGACATGTTAGCATGACAGAAAAGCGAAAAAAAATTACGAAAATTACAATTTGAAAGTTGAAATAAGAATAACATAATTATGGTTTTATTTGGTTCACACAGTTTTGTAAATAAAAACCCTATTAGATAATTAAGGTTTTTATTTAGAATTTTAATATAATAAACTGAAGTTTTATCTAAATGCATTCGTCATGATCGTTATGTGAGAATCATGTGGCTAGGATTAATTTTGAAATGACGGAGTTTACAGAGATTTATTACAAGCACGTTACAATTTTAGAAAGACAAATAATTGAATTTAATAGACTATAGGTGTTGTTAAATTAAAGATAGAAATTTGTTTGCATATTATTTAACTTACATATGTATAAAGTAGCAGTATATATAACTGCCTTTAAACATGAAAGGACTGGGATTTTCGAAACATATCTTCAATCGTGGCACTGTTTATCAAAACCTGCTGTCTTCTGAACGTGCATCAATCTTTTCTTGGTTGACTGTTTTCTTCGTTCTAATCAAAGTTATTTCATCTCTCCTGTGAACTAACTGTAGCAGGAACATTTCGCTTTCACTTGTGAAAGATGGGAGGAAATATGCTTTGTTAGAGTAATATACGAATTACAAATATACATATATTTCAATTTCTGAAGTTAACAGAACATTTTCATTTTAATTCATAAATACTGGATTTTCATCTGCTTAGTAATCAGAAACTTTTAATAGTCAATCAGCACTCTGATTCGGCTGGTGAAGTCCATTCGATAACCTGCAAGTGGTTTCTAGTCCAGAAACAATCTTTGGTGTGCAGAATATAGTAAAACTAATGCTATGATGGAAAAAATACCATACTGAAAAATAATGTGATGTGAAAAATAATGTGATGACATGTAATGTGAGTATTTAGTTTTCAACCTCTTAGTGAGTGAGCGAGTAAAGGATGAACGCGGGCACTATCCTTTTACAATATGCTTAATAAGCATCGTGTCATGTCAACCTTTGTTTAAAAGTATACATAAATGCATACATGGATACGATTAAATGTACATATATATGTATGATAAATTACACATATATAGGTAAATTATATGTGTATATATATATTATAATATATTGTATGAACTTAAATCCATTTAGTGCAAATACAAGTTATTATTACTTGCGCAATTGCTGCAAAGTTAGTTAATAATAATTTATTTCCTAAACAGTATTGATTAATTGATTATATTATCTCCTAAGTTTAATTAAAGTAGAATTATTTTAAAAGTGTGCATCCATACTGGTAAGTTATATTTTGAAAGATGTTTTGAAGTAATTTGAAAGCAAAATGTTAAACTAGCAAGATATAAAAGTAAGGAGGCTGCTAACCTTCAATACAGTAAAGTTTTTGTATAAGAACTTTAAAACTTAAAAGGTTGGAGATAATATATA